ACCGCCTCCAAAGTAAAGCTTTGCTGCCAGCCGTCAACAAGTCTGTCGAATTTACAGTCAACTTCGATTCCGGAAGCATACGTAAATGCACGCCGACTTACCGCCCGTCCGTTTCACGTAACGAGTGAGCAGTCGGACTATCGCAGGTAACGAAGGCCACAACGGAACGTGCTGAGGATAAAGCTGGTTCTGAAGTTTAAAGATACGGGATAATGCTTTGCGTTTCTTCATGATGTCCTCTGTGTCGTAAGTCCCTCGTCTACATGTGTTCGGTTTGTGCGGTTTTGCGAGATCGGTTTTGTGCGGTTTTGTGGTTTTAATTTCCAGCCTTTGTGCCGCCTCAGAATACGTAGGGTGCGGCGATTTGGCCCAGCTGTTTCATGCATCATTACAAGTTTAAGATCTCATCCATTTGACATTCATCCTATGCACGTACTCAATTACCGTGGAGGGCTACCAGGCCTTTCCTTTCAAACGAGGTTGTCAACGCTAAGCATCGAGTCAGCAGTGCTGGCTCACCAAAGCAAGTCGCTGGCCTCATGTCTATCTACTAATTGTCAACGTCAGCATTCCACCACGAAGAGAAAATTACACACTATTGCATTTCAGCATGGCAAAGAGAAGAGGCTCGCCACCACTGTCGCACACACGACTAAGTGAACTCTGGCGAGCCGTCGCTCGTGCTTTGGCGGACTAGGTTTAGCTGGGTTTTCGAAGTGTAGGAAGGCACAGTTGGCTCTTGGTAATGAGCTCCAGGCTTCAGAATTAGGTAGGGCCGCAACCGAACCATCCACGCAAACATTTTCATGTGGATGCTGCTGAGGGGATGGTGGTAGAAATGTGTTTGAGTATGAGAGGGCGCATGGTGGTTGCCAATCCCGTCGTAAGATGAAAAGGCCACGAATCCATGCTAGTAAGTCTTTGATGTCGATCAGTCATGTAAATGTAAACATGTTAATGTGTAAGGAAAGCCTTGATTGATGATATTCACCCGTATGTTTGTCTGTTCCCTTCTTCGGGACTTCTACATATTTCGTCCGTAAAACAGAGACACCTTTGGGGTGGCTTAATGGCAGATTGCAGGGCACCTGCTGATGAATGTAGTCGGTGGCGAGCTTTGCCAATGTGGACGGCGGGCTTTGTACGACCTGTTCTGTACGGCTTCTGTACTTCGACAGGAAAATGTAGGCGCCCAAGTTGTAGGTGACTGATGACCCGGTCTTCGGCTATTCCTACCCTCCCCTGTAATCGGCTTACGAACAGTGACGTTCTCTTGTACTTGCAAAATAACGACATTCAGGCATTTCCCCCGCTTGTTGTACTTCATGTTGTCCCGACAAACACGGGTGGTGAGCCGGAAGCAGCTGGCATGATGTGAGGAACAGGGGGGCATATCTTCTCCCGTGGCAGCTACCCTGCGAAACCCTGCCTTCCCCGGTGTTTCGGGGCACCCTCATCCAGTCCCTAGGCAACTTCTCTGTAGATCGCTCAGGTTCCGCAGCCACCACCGGCATCCAACGGAATCTGTCGGTCAGATGGCGGCTCAACCTAACTCCTGAACTGCTCGCATGATCACATTGTCCCGGGGTACCATTGTTCATCGACTTTTCCGTCCATCATCGGAAGGCTTCTCGATCACGACAGGTCTCGATCCCGGGATCTCCCGGGGTCAGTGGTCCGTGCCTTACCAGTAGTGCCTATGCACTACTTGCATATATACTTTTGGGTCATTTTTGAGTGATAATATCCCCCCATGTTTTTATATTATATACACTCATTCGCCGCTACGGGGTGAGCCTGGCGCTCGAGGACTGGAGGGACGCAGCGGAGTGCTTGGACTCGGTAATGGCGGGCCTGTCTGCCATGCAGCCGTGTTCATCGCCGCCCCAACCTTTCGAGCAGTCTCCGCAGCTGGGAGCTCCGAACGAGATACACGCTGCACCGCCACTGGGGCAGACGACACCATAACATAAAGAACAAGTGAGTCGACCCTTGCCGCATGTGTATGATCGCGCGTGTCTGTCTGTAGAAGCTTCGGAGATGCTGTCTGCCAGGGATTCTCGGACCTCCCCTGTTCGGGCGGCGGAAAACCTCAGCATGAAGGACAATCCTCCTGCCCTGGCCTTCCCGTCACCCCAACCCCTCGGGTTGGCCCTTACAGATACCCAAAGGGAATACGTACAGCTTACGCTAATTAGTTAAGCTACTGTGCAAGTAAAGAGAACCTGAATTGCAAGGAAGGACATGACACCATCTGCATCGGCCGCTTCACATGGCAACTGCGGGCGTGAGACAACACCAATGCCGTTATTTAACTCAAGCGTGCGCAACTAGTAACTTTACAAAATGAAGGTAGTCCCTCGGGAACCGTCGTCTGCTCTCTCCTTCCGAAACCATGCTCCGAGCCGCTCCAGAACCTGACGGCTCGGAAACCAAAATATTAATGTTGCTGCGGAGAATAGCAATCTTTGGTATATGCTTGTCTCTGCGGTAAAACCTGGCTTTCATGCATCAAACGATTTAAACGGTGATCATTGCCGAATTATTCGTTCAGGTCCCAGAATTCCCTCCCTTATCCAGCTTATCAAGCATTATCCATATAAAAAATCAGCGGGGCAACTCGACCAATCTTCTGAATTGCAACACCCACTACTGACTTGTTTCGGCGATTCCATCGCGCCAACTCGCCACACACGATTACCATGTCGTTCTGGGGGGTCGTTGTCAAACCAGGGAAGCCGCATGCCTTCGTCCCGCCGCCGGAAGAATGGAACCTTCACCTGTCGCAGGCGGCCATCGCGCCGACAGTTCCTGAAGGCCAGCGCGTGGCTTTGGCTGTGGCTTCCGACTCAAAGGAGGAGCCGCTAATCGTTTGTACCCTCACTGCTGGTCGCACCGATACCGCGGTGCTGGATTTATTTTTCTCACAGGTGGGCCCAAGGTGTTGACAAGGGGTTGAAGGGCGGCGTGACCTATGCTTAGTAACGGATTAAATAATTAGAGGGAACATACGCCTCTTAGGATTTTTGTTATCCCAGGTAAGCCGTTTAAGGCGTTTGTAACTATATCAGCGTGGAGAAAGCTAGGGCCACGATGCCGTCGTTGATGCCATCGTCGGAGTTTCTGCCGTCCTGCGCACCCGCAGCATGGACTCCGGTTAGTACTGTTTGAGCGGAACTTAAACAAGTACTGGAGCCGACCTGGGGCTAGTACTATGAAAATATACAACACGGCCTCATCCTGACCCTTCCCATACGCCCCTGACAAGCAGTAACGGAGGACTCGGTTTCGCCCCTTGGCCGCACCCGCTTCGGAATGCACACACGTTGCAAATGCACACCCACAGCCCTGGTTCATTTTGGCGGTTTCATATCCCTGGCCAACGCTGAGCGCATATATAGCCCAGGGCCGTTTCCCTTGACGACGAAATGTCCTCCAGGCTCTCCGTGATTTTAGTAGCTGGCCCCAGAAAAGGCCTCTCAAGATGCTGGTCGAGCGTTTTGCGTGTACATGTAGTTGACATGTGTGCCGTACTGTGTACCGGCTACTACAGTGCTTTTAACTCGTCCTCGTTCTGCCAAGGCGTTTCCCCCTCTCCCACCTTTCCCTCTATGTACCCAACTCGTCTCCTCGTCTTTCCTCCAAACTTTTAATTTGTTCCTCATCATCTTTAACGCCTCGTTGTTAATTTACCCTTTCTGAATTCCTCAGTATTCGGAGTTTTCGGTGATTGGGGAACACGCAGTGCACCTGTCGGGGTACTACACGCCCCCCCAGGTGGGTTGTGGGTTCTGTGGACCGACCTGGGCTAGGGCTGGGGCTGCAGCTTGGGCTTAGGGTTTCCAGCGCCTCCACACTTGCATTGTAAGAGACTAGGAAAGCCACACGAGCAGACCAGACACCCGGCATACATGCCCCCGGTCAGTCACCTGCTGGAGTGAAACTCGATAGCTAACTCGATATATTAAGGATTGCCCTCTTGCTGTCCTCATCTGGGTCACCTGGGACTGAGGGCTTTGGGTTCCGCTTCAGTGCAACCAGAGGGCGAAGAAGAACCGGCACGGGAGGGGTTGAGGCTGGGCCCCTCGGCGTCGCGATCTTGTCGTTGGTTTGATCCCCATTTGGGTAATCAGATTGGGGGTTACCCAGATGGACGGGGCTATCGGCGCACGAGGTCGGGGTCTTAGGCTGCATGGGGCTTGCGATGGTGGCGATGACGTTCGTGCTGCGGTGATGCGGAGGAAGTGGGTCTTTGGTAGGTCGGGGCTTCAGCATGTGGGTTTAGGGCTGCTTTGGGGCCTCGTCGAGTGATGCACCGTCCATGGGCCCCCCGGCTTTTACGGACACCCCCGCACTTGTGCGGAACTTATAACTTGTAACTTGCATGGGTTGGAACAAGTGTGCATTTCTGAACCGTCTGCTTGTTATATATGCTCATGTGTTGGCGTCCCTCCTGTTTGGTTGACTTGCCGTTTTGCTTGCTGGCGGCATGTCCGCTCAGTTGGTGGATGAGGACGATGAGGATGAGGATGAGGACGACGAGGATGGCGAGTACCAGCCGGGAGCTCTGGGCTTCCCCATCCGCGGCAGCCGTGGCGATGGCGACGGTGATGATGATGACGACGAAGACGATGAGGATGAGGACGACGACGATGATGATGATGATGATCTCGATGGCCTGGACGAGGTGTGTGGGACGAAGACCTGTTGAGGGGCAAAAACTGCTCCAAAAGCATCCGTGCCATAGTTTATTCACACTGCTGAAATACGTCTTCAAGGGTTTTAGGGTTTTTAGGGTTTCAATTACACGACATGAAAGTTGCCCGACATTTTACCTCCCATTGTACACGAGGAAAGGGATTTACCATGATCAGGGATTCGGGTCAAACGTGGATGAGGGGGAAGGAGCGTGTTCTTCTACAGATGTACCTAAGCTAAGACGGGTTGGACAAATGACCCACGGGTCGCTTGCTCCCTGGCCCGCCTTTCCTCTCTCAGGACGAAGAAGAGGATGACGAAAACGAGGATTCCATGGATATGGACGGCGACGAGGACGACGAGATGTTTGGCTATGAGGCCGTGCTGAAACGAGCCAAGCGGAAGCCGCATGTGGTGATTGAGGACATCACCGACCAGGGGCAGGAGGCTGTGGCAGCGGAGGGGAACAAGAAGGCAGAGAAGGGTGGCAAGAAGGACGCCAAGGTACGGCTGACGGTTGGAACTGCTCGACCGTTGAGAGGGGGGACAACGAGTTTTCCCCTCGGGTAACCGTGTCGTGCATTGCGGATGGCGGAGAAGGGCATTGTGTGGGGTGCGTTCCGGTCAGGGTTTTGAACTTTTTATATATGAACGTGGTGGCGGCTGTTGGAGAGGATTGGTTGCCGGAGCTGCAGCCCATGCTTTGCTTGAGCATGCGCCGTTCTTGAGTTCATCAAGGTTTCCTTTTCCGAGATAGGATGCGTGGTTATTTACTGGGCCCGGCTCAGCTCTCCCCGTCCGCGTCACCGTCGGCTGTGTCGGCGCTTGTCATCAAGGCTCTGTCTTCGGCTTGCGACAGGCTGCAAACAAGGCGACGGCGCCCAAGGGCAAGGAGAAGGCTAAAGAGGACGACGAAGATGAGGAGGACGAGGAGGAAGAAGATGAAGACGATGACGAGGAGGAGGACGAGGAGGAAGAAGCGGAGGAGGAGGAGGACACGCCCGCGCCTAAAAATGCAAGTGAACTATGGAGCGTTTGCGAAGTATGGAGAGTGTGTTGATAAGCGCCGCTTTTTTGGCTCCTGCTGTACCTGCAGCGACAGCACTTGCAGCGCTCCTATGATATCGACCACTTTACCCACAGCATATGTAAATGCCTGGTTGCGTGGTCCTCTTTCTACCGATAGCGGCATCATTTGGCGGTGTGCGTGGCGCAGTAGGCGAGGAGCTCTCTGGAGGCGGAGCAGGGAGGGAGTCGTCCTATATATAGGGTTTCTTTTTTGCGCTGTGTAGTATTGTTGTTTTCTGCGATGTCATGCAGATGACAGCGTGGGTCCTTGGACTGGCACGGGGCCTTTAATTTCGTGCCTTTTTGTTCTGCTCATCGGTATCCGTCTGTTTCAACAACCTTTTGGCTGCTGTTTCGCTTCGCAGGCTGGCAAGCGGCCCGCGGAAGCTTCCAAACCGTCGGCAAATGGTGTGGCAAAGGCGGACGGCCCAGCCGCCAAGAAGCAAGCCGTCGGGTAAGTATCATATCGGGGGCCGTGAACACCGCATATCATATCGGTGTCTTGTTTCACACATCACACAGCCTAGGGTGTGATCAGGGACATGAGCGAGCTAGGCAAGCAGGGGGTTGACGGAAGGCCAAGAACGGGGCATTGGCGGATATGATAAGAAACAGGGAGGAGGGATGGAGCAAGGTCGCAGATGCATTTGTTTGGGAATAGCAACACGTGTTTGCTTTCCCGCGCACAGTCGTGTGCGCGCATAAGAGTCGTGTGCGCGGAGAAGGGCTTCACTGCACATCTAAGCTCGCGTTCGCTCCTGTTGGATCGCGGCCGTATAACCCTGCAGGCAGCAGCAGCAGCCGACGCCTCAACCTGTCGCTACGGGGAAGGAGACTAAGGACATGCAGAAACAAAAGCAGCAAAATGACAAGGCTCAGAAGCAAGACCAGAAGCAGGAAGTGAAGAAGGATGCGAAGCCGGCCGAGAAGAAGCAGGTTGAGAAGAAGGACGCTGAGAAGGAGTTGAAGCCGGGCAAGAAGAACATCCGGCGTCACCCGAATGGCTTCGAGGTGAGGGCTCCCTCCGCTGCCTCCTGTCTCTGATTTTGTACAGCACCCCTTCTTTTCCCGCTCTTTCCCTCTCCCTTTTCCTCTCTCTCTTTGGAGTCACTCTCGGTAAAGGTTGACGGTATGTAAATCACCGCATTGAAGTTGGCGGTGGGCCCTCCCAGCTTCCCACCATCACAATAACCACCACCACTCATCTCGGCCGAACCACAGCCACCATCAGCAAAAGCCGTTGGCCTCGCGCCGATTCCAAGGCCCTCTCCACAAACCCACCCTAAGGCCTCGCGCCTTTCCGACTCCCTTCCGTGTCTTTGGACTGCGGGTGGTAATGTAGATGTTAGCCGGTCGGGCCTGTCACACGGGCACCTAGGGCAGAGCGAACTCTCTTTTCTCTCACAGATGCACCCGCATGGGCGGATGCGTTCTCTCCAATCCCTAGGACCTGACCTTTGCTCTCTTGCTCTGGTGGCGCCCCTCCTTACCGCATGGACCCGTTGAGGCCGATTTCTTGGGCCCATGGTAACGGGCGTGGTGTTGCTGGCCTGACAAATACACACAAGCGCAGTTGGGCGATGTACTGCACTCCCATGTAATTCAATACCTAGGGTGTTTGCAGGCTCGTGCTCATGCGAATACGTGTCTTGTCTACGGTACACATGTACGGCGCAGATTGAGGATGTTTCGTTCGGCAACCCGCACGGCAAGCTGGCCAAGCCCGGACAGAAGGTGCTGGTTCGCTACACTGGGCGGCTCAAGTCGAATGGCAAGGTGTTCGACAAGAGCGGCCAGAAGCCGTTCCAGTTCCGTCTAGGTGGGTGTGGGGTCTGGCCCCGCTGGGGCATCGAAAATTCCTTCCCGGACAACTCCATTTCCTGCCGGAAGAAGGGTTTGTGTGGGGTCGGACGCGGCGATAGTGGATGGCTGTTCGCAGGGATAATGGGCCTTATGGGATAGGCTGATGTTTGGCTGTGAAGCAAAAAGAAGAGGGGGTTCTCTCCCGGAGAGGGCTGCTGCCATATGGCATCGTCGCTGTGTCACGCCGCAACCCGCACGGTTACCTACCTGCATTAGGCTTCACTAGATGGCGCGGGAATATCCGTCCTATATTGTCCGGACGCCGAGAGGTGCCTTGCCCCCTGGGTGGTGATGCTGCACCCGCTTGGTCACCCACTCGGCTTCTGGCTCCATTCTCTATGGTCCAGTCGGTTAACTTTTTTTTGGCGCCCCTTTCCCCATGCTCTGCCCTTTCTGCTGCCCCTCCGGCCATCCCAAAACTTTGCAACGCAATACGGTGTACACGAATGCATCTTCCCGTTGCCAACCCGTCCGGACGGCGTCTGCCGTTGCTTTTGGCTTTCGGCTGTTGGGATTAAAAATGCATCTACCACATCATGCACCTACCGTGTACCGATCCAGGCGTGGGAGAAGTGATCAAGGTGAGAGCCGCGGGTCGGGCCGGAAGGAAAAGAGCGGTGACGACTGTCCTTGCGCCCGTAGGATGCGTTGTACGTGTCTTTGCGTCGGGCTAGCTGGCTTCTTTCCTTCATCGCTTTTGGTCGATCACTCTCCTTTGCCCGGGACAAGTTGTTGTCGCTGCCTCTTCTCCGACCATCCAAGGACCTGACGGCCCCCCGTCTGTCCGCCCTGCCCTAACGAGCTGCTCTCACCTGTGCAGGGCTGGGACCTGGGTGTGGAGGGCATGCGAGTGGGCGACAAGCGCCGGCTGGTCATCCCGCCGCAGCTGGCGTATGGCGCTGCTGGCGTCAAGGGCACGATTCCCTCCAACTCCACGCTCGAGTTTGACGTGGAGCTTGTGGACGTCAAGTAACGTAGTCTTGCGCAGCTGGCAAGTAGTGGTATTAAGCTGGAGGAGGAGGAGGAGTGGTGGTGCCTTCAGCGAAGGCGTTGTCGTGGTGTAGTTTGTCAGTGCGGCGTTGTCCGGGCCTGGTCGGGCTTTGGCGCACGGTGGGCTCCATACGTCCCTTAGTGGAGATGAGCGCCGGGCTATAAACGAACCTGGCGAAGGGCCGGTTCAGCATGTGCATGGTGCCTACTGGCACGGGCAGGATAATGTGAAGTCAAAGTAAAGCCAGGTTGGAGAGCCTTTAGTGAGTCCGCACCTCGCGTGCAGGTGAAAAGAGGAGGAGAAGCTGGTTTGGGAGTTTTCGAGTGGGCAGGTTTTGTTCGCGTTCAGAGCGCGGTGTCTTGAGCGGTACTTGTGTGCATGTGTTGCGGTGCTTCTTCCGGGGCAATTATCTCTTATCCGGGGCACATGCATTGATGTAGCAAAGTGTGTGGCGTCAGGAGACACAACGGCCTGGGGGACGTTTGAGGAGAATTCGACAGCGTTTTTTCCCTGGAAAGCGCAGCTACGTCAGTACACAGTTAGTGGGCAGGACTTGGAGCTAAGGAAAATGACGATCGAACCGAGGTGAAATGAGGACGTGGCGCGGGCCGAGGGGTTTGGCTTGCTTTGCGGGGTATTGCTATGTTTGTGGATGGCTGGATACGGTGCTTTGAGTGGACAGAGATTTAGATTACGAGTATCTTTCGGACTGCAGGGCTGCAATGCTGGCGGGTTGCTCCTTTCGGGTGCAAGATTGGGGTGAAGGTGGATTACTTCGGGGCTGCGTGGTGGACGAGGCGGGATTTGGATGCTGCCCGCTGTTTGGTGGAGGGGCCCGGCTGCGTTATATTACACGCAACACAGTTGTTTAAGTGTTCACACGGTTTCCCGGGCGGGATATCCCTGCGTTTACAAAAAATCAATCGAACGCGAACCTGAGACAACATGAACTTTTGGGTCGTGTTGTCATTGTGATGGTGCTGGAGCTGTGTTATGCTTCAGGCAATTTACGCGCAACTCGCTAAGCTGTTTAGGCCTGGAAAAGCGGAAAAACGACCTGCACATCGGCTTTGAAAAGGACGCAGCGGTTTTAGATGAAGGACAAGAGAGAGTACATATTTTCCCGGCACCTTGCGCGACACGGCGTGGTGTGGTCACCCTCAATGATCTGGAACGGACTGCAGCGGACTCTTATGACGGTAACATAAAGGACACACAATACAATTACACAATTATACGATTTTAAACAAACATGCAATATTATGTTTATTATTTACATGTGATTAATAGCGGTAACTGGATTATTCAATTATGATACCTCTGGTCGGACATCAACCATTTTTTCATTCCCACACACTGCAGGAAGTGGATTGGATTCATACAACGACAGCTCTTTCGGATCCTCTTTAGCAGGATTTATGTAAGGTCCGTCAGGAGGTTATGTATTGGCAGCGGCATCCTGAAGAGGACACCAGCAAGGGCTGTGCGAAGACGATCCCGGGTACAAGGGCATGCACTCGTGTGCAATAGAGACTTCCAACGTATCTGACCCCGCCTGACAAGGCGACCTTGGACAAGACAAGTGGGACAGTTCCTATTCTTGTTTTCCGTAATATCATGTCACGGTTGCCGTACACGTCATCCAGAACGTCTTGGCACAGCTTATAGGAAACAATATCGCTTAACCATTAGGTAGCATCGGCCTTGTTCGTGTACCGGGGTTTTGTCAATGTTTCTGAAACAGGGATTGCTTGGACCCAGGGGCCTGAACCCAGGGGCCGTTCGATTTTCTATTGGGTTTACAATTTTTCAATTTTCGGTTAAGTTTACGCCGAACATTTCAAGGGATCAGCCGGACATAAAGAGTTGCCAGGTCGTAAAATTTTGACATGTCGGGCTACACGAAGGCGTCTGGCAGTTAGCGACTTCTATCGTCCGCGACAGTCAGGACTGTTGAAAGCGCGTTACGGTAGGTGCCACGAAATTCAGGCGCATCATCTAACCTGTTGTAAAACTATTGTCCTTTTATGTGGAAGTGATCAAGCGTTTATGTGATGCGTGAGACTGCATGCCTCGTCGACGCATGGAATCCTCCAAGGAAGCGGCTCAACCTGCTAACGTTAGGGACTAATTCGCTCCAAGAATATGCCGAGCGATATTTTTCCCATGTCCATGTTTTTTCTGTATTCTGTCTTGTAACGATCTACACACGACGCGAAGGGCTAACTAGAGCAAAAGAGTATGTGAATCAATCCGTGGTGGCCGGCGTTCCTTGGTGTGCGGCCACGGAAGCGCACTCCGTAATCGACCATCTGACGAAATGTACCTGTCGTCCCTGACGTACGGACATCTGTAGGAAAGTAGCCTTGGCTTGCAGCGAAACGGGATAAGAAGCCTGCTAATGTTATCAATTGCATGTTTTCAAAATAAATCTGTTGCTCGCGCCACTTATGGATCTTCCGGGCGCATCTTCCATGCTTTTCCCTTACCGTCGTTCGTACGACTTCATACGTCGCCGCTGTGGCTTCCCACTGCACAGAAAGAAACGCCCTCGTGCACAGAGAAACAATATTTTCTTATTAGATTGTTATATTCACTTTCGACTGCACGTGGCCCTTGTTGCATTTGACCGTTCGCGCGCTCCCGCGATATATGGCCGAGGACTCTTCCGACTTTAGGGGTCTCCTTGGAAGATTCACGCGTCACGCTGCCCTTCCATTTTCCTGCCACCTCCGGTAGCGGCCTCGTCCCTAGCAGCAGCCGAGTCGAGCATCCTCCAAATCCAAAATCCAAATCCAAACGGAGTAAGGTGCTTCCCATTTTCCCAACAGAGCACCTAATGACCCCCCGGCGCATCCGGCTACTGTGTGTGGTGTTCTAACAGTGGGCTGAAGACTCGTGAACAGCAGAGCCAGCTGGCCGTGCACTTCACGTGAGACGATCAAGGCAGACAAGACACCCACCCAGACCAGACAACGCAAGTCACCTAGGCGGCAAGCCACCTAGTCCACTACTGTACGACCGAAATCACGTACTCGTCCCAAGGAAAGATGGAAGCCAGCGACCCGGCTGCTGCCAGCGATCCCTTGGCTTCTGGCCACGGCGGCGGCGGTAGCAGCGGCCGTGGCGACGGCGGCGACGGCGCCAGTATCCAACAGCAGCATTCGCCGGGCCGCCGTACGACGGAGGCGGCGGATGCGTCGGAGGCGGCTGAAGAGACTCCAAAGTTGGAACCTGCTGCGGAGGCGGGGGACCCGCTAGAATCTGGATACGGCGCGGTGGAGGCGGCGGGACCTTCCGCCGCCACCCGGGACCCGCTAGCGGCGGCGCAGCGCTGCGCGGCAGCAGGCTGGGATGTTGCCTTGTCGGCCCGGGAGTCAGCGCTGATCGCGCGGGAGTCAGCCGTATGTGCAAGAGAGGCGTCCGTGGCGGCACGTGAGACGGCAATCACCTCACGGGAATTGGCTTTAGCATGCCTGGAGTCGAACATGCAATCTGTGGCCGTACAGATGAAGCTGTTACCGCCGGTGCCGAGGGAGCTGGCCACGCTGCGAGCTGGCGTCGTCGGCGCTACCGGCGCCGTGCGACCTACACCTGTCGCGGCACGAGCTCCTCATCCTGTCGTAAACCAGGGCGAAGGTGCAGCGGCTGGTGGGCCTCTACCAGCACACGGGGAGGCTGCCGCGGCGCAGAAGAGTCCGTCTATATGGCGAGGCAGTGATGGCGGCAGTGGCGGCGGCAGCGGTGGCGGTGATAAGGTGATGTCTAATACTCAGCGGCGCCGTCTGCAGCGGGAGCGGGCTCGGCGGCGGGCGGCAGGTGCACGACAGGGGCACCCGCAGGAGGGCGAGCACCATACCGAACCCGAGGGGTCGAGGTTGGCGGAGGCGGAGGAGTTGCTGCAGCAGACGCAGCTGCCCGAGCTGCAGCCGGATCAAGAGCGCTGTGGTAGTGAGGAGGAGGAACATCTAGGAGCCCAGGCTGCACAGGAGGGGCAGGAGGGGCAGGCGGCACAGGAGGGCCAGGCGGCACAGGAGGAGCAGGCGGCACAGGAGGAGCAGGCGGCACAGGAGGGGCAGGAGGGCCAGGCGGCACAGGAGGGGCAGGATTGCCAGGCGACACAGGAGGGGCAGGATTGCCAGGCGGCACAGGAAGGGCAGTAGGCAGGTTTTGTTCGCGTTCAGAGCGCGGTGTCTTGAGCGGTACTTGTGTGTATGTGTTGCGGTGCTTCTTCCGGGGCAACTATCTTTCTTCTTATCCGGGGCACATGCATTGAAGTCGCAAAGTGTGTGGCGTCAGGAGACACAACGGCCTGGGGGACGACAGCTCGACAGCGTTTTTTTTCCTGGAAAGCGCAGTTACGTCAGTACACAGTTAGTTGGCAGGACTTGGAGCTAAGGAAAATGACGATCGAACCGGGGTGAAATGAGGACGCGGTGCGGGCCGAGGGGTTTGACTTGCTTTGCTATGTTTGTGGATGGCTAGGTACGGTGCTTTGAGTGGACAGAGGTTTAGTTTCGGGAAGTGTCTTTCGGACTGCAGGGCTGCAATGCCGGCGGGTTGATCCTTTGGGGTGCAAGGTTTGGGTGAAGGTGGATTACTTCGGGGCTGCGTGGTGGACGAGGCAGGATTTGTGTGTGTGTGTGTGTGTGTTACATGGTTGGGGGTGCGTGACCCCATACCTGTAAAACTACCCATACGAGCCGAAGGCCCAAGGGCAATACCACAACGCCTAAAAGCCGCGGAGGAAAGGAAAATACCGCACATCAGCCCAGACTAGCGTCCAAAGGGGGTAATTGAGTTTCGGTGAGCCCACATACGTTCCAACATCCTCGCAAGACGTGCGGGTTCCCATTTCATGGCCTCCAACATGCTCTGTTGATGATCGAATCCCTCTTCAGCACGAATATCATTATAGGCTGGGCATTCCAATAACACGTGTTTTTCATCCTCGGTTCGGCTATTAGTACCACAACAGTGGCAAAACCGCTGCCCCCTGGGGACATGGTACTTGCCCCTTCGTGCTCTGTTTGCCTCCAAAGCCCAGCAACATAAACGAAACTGCATTAGCTTACGATGTGCTAAACGAGGAATGGCGGGATTTGGATGCTGCCCGCTGTTTGGTGAGGGGCCCGGCTGCGTTCATTACACGCAACACAGTTACCGTACCGCTATGGCCGATTGGTGATTTCTGGATTGGTGAAAGTAAAAAACGCTTCTAGAATTAATCTTTCCAACACCGGAACTGGTGATACGGTTTGGTGTTACCCCGTCCACTTTTTCCCATTGCCACCGAATTGGTGAAAGCCGCCAACCGGACTGCCCCCTTCACATCGTGCGCTGCCTTCCTGCCATGATGCAACTCTTGCTGACCAAGTAATAATTTATTAATGTAATGACTATATAATGTAAAGTTTGGTAGGAAATATTGCTTTATGTGTGCTTTTCTGCGAGTTAGGCGGTCCGGCACCCGACCTGGATCCAAAACGTACAGGGATTGGTGATGGCCGCCGCTCAATCCCAGCCCGGATTATCCTTTGCCACTGGATTGGTGATTTTCACCAATCCGGTGTCACCAATCGGCCATAGCGGTACGGTACTTAAGTGTTCACAAGGTTTCCCGGGCGGGATATCCCTGCGTTTACAAATAATGAATCGGACACGAACGTCAGACAACATGAACTTCTGGGTTCTGTTGTCATGTGATGGTGCTGGAGCTGTGTAATGTGAAGCTTGAGGCAGTTTAATATGCACAATGCGACCTGGCCAGGAACTAAGTTGATGCGCCGTTGATCCGCTAGATTTGGTTGGATGCTGGTGGTGAGTTGCCGAACCCAACGAATACATTCTGAAGTCGGATGGGGTGACGGATTAGGGTGCCCCTCTAGCAGGGGAGAGCAGGGACTGCCCCGGGAAAGGGGGCCGCTGGCGAAGTTAACCACCCTGTAACAACATACAATGCTAAGTTGTTTAGGCCTGGAAAAGGGGAAATAATACCTGCACATCGGCTTTGAGGACGCAGCGGTTTAGATGAAGGGCAAGAGAAAGTACATATTTTTCCGGCACCTCTTCGCGCGACACGCGTGGTCAACGTCAACGTCTCTGGAACGGCCTCTGGTCAACGATCTGGAACGGATTGTAGCGGACTCTTATGACGGTAACATAAAAGACACATAAAATCTTAAACACACATGTAATGCCATGGACCTTGTTTATATGTGATTAACTGGATTGTTCAGACATGATACCTTTGATCGGACACCAACCATTTTCCCACTCCCATACACTGCGGAAAATGGATTGGATTCATACAACGACGGCTCTTTCGTATCTTCTTCAGCAGGATTTTTGTAAGATCCGTCAGGAGGTTATGTATTGGCAGCGGCATCCTGAAGAGGTCACCAGCAAGGGCTGTGCGAAGGCGATCCCGGCGTACAAGGGCATGCGCTCGTGTGCAACCCGGCGTGCAGCGCCCGTGCTAGGGACTTCCAAAGGTATCCGACTCCGCCTGACAAGGCGACCTCGGACAAGACAAGTGGGACATTTCCTATCCTTGTTTTCCGTGAGATCATGTCACGGTTGCCGTACACGTCATCCAGAACGTCTTGGCACAGCTTATAGGAAACAATATCGGTTAACCATTAGGTAGCATCGGCCTTGTTCGTGTACCGGGGTTTTGTCAATGTTTCTGTGTAACAGGGATTGCTTGGACCCAGGAGCCTGAACCAAGGAGCCGTTCGATTTTCTATTGGGTTTACAATTTTTGTATATCTTTTCAGTTCAGTACACGCCGAACATTTCAAGGGATAAGGCGGAAATAAAGAGTTGCCAGGTCGTAAAATTTTGACATGTCGGGCTACACGAAGGCGTCTGGCAGTTAGCGACTCCTATCGTCCGCGACAGTCAGGACTGTTGAAAGCGCGTTACGGTAGGTGCCATGAAATTCAGGCGCATCATCTAACCTGTTGTAAAACTATTGTCCTTTTATGTGGAAGTGATCAAGCGTTTATGTGATGCGTGAGACTGCATGCCTCGTCGACGCATGAGATCCTCCCAAGGAAACGGCTCAACGTGCCAAAAGAAGGGAATAATTCGCTCCAATAATATGCCGAGCGATATTTTTCTCATGTCCATGTTTTTTCTGTATTGTGTCTTATAACGATCTACACACGACAAAGCGCAGGAACGAGCGCACCGAAATGTCGCTAAGGGCTAATTAGAGCAAAAGATATGTGAATCAGTGCGTGTTGGCCGGCGTTCCTTGTGCGGCCACGGAAGCGCACTCCGTAATCGACCATCTGACGAAATGTTCCTGTCGTCCCTGACGTACGGACATCTGTAGGAAAGTAGTCTTGGCTTGCAATGAAACGGGCTAAGAAGCTTGATAAAGTTATCGATTGCATTTTTAAAATTAAATCTATTGCTCGTGCCACTTACGGATCTTCCGGGCGCATCTTCCATGCTTTTCCCTTACCGTCATTCGTACGACTTCATACGTCGCCGCTGTGGCTTCCCACTGCACAGAAAGAAACGCCCTCATGCACAAAGAAACAAGATATTTTTAGGAGGGTGTGATATTCACTTTCGCCTGCACGTGGCCCTTAGTTGCATTTGACCGTTCGCGCGCTCCCGCGATATATGGCCGACTTTAGGGGTCTCCTTGGAAGATTCACGCGTCACGCTGCCCTTCCATTTTCCTGTCACCTCCGGTAGCGGCAGCGGCCCTAGCAGCAGCCGAGTCGAGCATCCTCCAAATCCAAAATCCAAATCCAAACGGAGTAAGGTGCTTCCCATTTTCCCAACAGAGCACCGAATGACCCCCCGGCGCATCCGGCTACTGTGTGTGTGCTTCTAATTGTGGGCTCAAGACTCGTGAAGAGCAGAGCCAGCTGGCCGTGCACTTCACGTGAGACGATCAAGGCAGACAAGACACCCACCCAGACCAGACAACGCAAGTCACCTAGGCGGCAAGCCACCTAGTCCACTACTGTACGACCGAAGGTCTGCTTATCACGTACTCGTCCCAAGGAAAGATGGATTGCCAGGCGGCACAGGCGGCACAGGATGGCCAGGCGGCACAGCCGGCACAGGATTGCCAGGCGGCACAGGCGGCACAGGATTGCCAGGCGGCACAGCCGGCACAGGATTGCCAGGCGGCACAGGCGGCACAGGATTGCCAGGCGGCACAGCCGGCACAGGATTGCCAGGCGGCACAGGATTGCCAGGCGGCACAGCCGGCACAGGATTGCCAGGCGGCAAAGCCGGCAAAGGATTGCCAGGCGGCACAGGATTGCCAGGCGGCACAGCCAGCACAGGATTGCCAGGCGGCACAGGATTGCCAGGCGGCACAGCCGGCACAGGATTGCCAGGCGGCACAGGCGGCACAGGATTGCCAGGCGGCACAGCCGGCACAGGATTGCCAGGCGGCACAGCCGGCACAGGATTGCCAGGCGGCACAGCCGGCACAGGATTGCCAGGCGGCACAGGATTGCACAGGCGGCACAGGCGGCACAGGATTGCCAGGCGGCACAGGATTGCCAGGCGGCACAGCCGGCACAGGATTGCCAGGCGGCACAGCCGGCACAGGATTGCCAGGCGGCACAGCCGGCACAGGATGGCCAGGCGGCACAGCCGGCACAGGATTGCCAGGCGGCACAGGCGGCAAAGGATTGCCAGGCGGCACAGCCGGCAAAGGATTGCCAGGCGGCACAGCCGGCACAGGATTGCCAGGCGGCACAGGCACAGGATGGCCAGGCGGCACAGCCGGCACAGGATTGCCAGGCGGCACAGGCGGCAAAGGATTGCCAGGCGGCACAGCCGGCACAGGATTGCCAGGCGGCACAGCCGGCACAGGATTGCCAGGCGGCACAGGCGGGGCAGGAATGCCAGGCGGCACAGCCGGCAAAGGATTGCCAGGCGGCACAGGAGGGGCAGGAGGGCCAGGCGGCACAGCCGGCAAAGGATTGCCAGGCGGCACAGGAGGGGCAGGAGAGCCAGGCGGCACAGGAGGGGCAGGATTGCCAGGCGGCACAGGAGGCACAGGATTGCCAGGCGGCACAGCCGGCACAGGATTGCCAGGCGACACAGGATTGCCAGGCGGCACAGCCAGCACAGGATTGCCAGGCGGCACAGCCGGCACAGGATTGCCAGGCGGCACAGCCGGCACAGGATTGCCAGGCGGCACAGCCGGCACAGGATTGCCAGGCGGCACAGCCGGCACAGGATTGCCAGGCGGCACAGCCGGCACAGGATTGCCAGGCGGCACAGCCGGCACAGGATTGCCAGGCGGCACAGCCGGCACAGGATTGCCAGGCGGCACAGCCGGCACAGGATTGCCAGGCGGCACAGGCGGCACAGGATGGCCAGGCGGCACAGCCGGCACAGGATTGCCAGGCGGCACAGGATGGGCACAGGCGGCACAGCCGGCAAAGGATTGCCAGGCGGCACAGGAGGGGCAGGAGGGCCAGGCGGCACAGCCGGCACAGGATGGCCAGGCGGCACAGCCGGCAAAGGATTGCCAGGCGGCACAGCCGGCACAGGATTGCCAGGCGGCACAGCCGGCACAGGATTGCCAGGCGGCACAGCCGGCACAGGATTGCCAGGCGGCACAGGAGGGGCAGGAGGGCCAGGCGGCACAGGAGGGGCAGGAGAGCCAGGCGGCACAGGCGGCGCAGGAATGCCAGGCGGCACAGGAGGCGCAGGATTGCCAGGCGGCACAGGAGGGGCAGGACAGGCGGCACAGCCGGCACAGGATTGCCAGGCGGCACAGGAGGGGCAGGATTGCCAGGCGGCACAGGAGGCGCAGGATGGCCAGGCGGCACAGCCGGCAAAGGATTGCCAGGCGGCACAGGCGGGGCAGGATTGCCAGGCGGCACAGGCGGCGCAGGATTGCCAGGCGGCACAGGCGGCGCAGGATTGCCAGGCGGCACAGGAGGGGCAGGAGGGCCAGGCGGCACAGGAGGGGCAGGAGAGCCAGGCGGCACAGGAGGGGCAGGAATGCCAGGCGGCACAGGAGGGGCAGGAGGGCCAGGCGGCAAAGGAGGGGCAGGAGAGCCAGGCGGCACAGGAGGGCAGGAGGGCCAGGCCGATCAGGGTGACTGTTAATAGTGTCCGGGGGACGATGGGCAGGTAGACATACGCACCAGCACAGCCTCTGCAGCGCACGGAGAGTCTGAGGAGATGCCAGCACAAGGGCGATGTGTATGTCATCAACAGCCAGACACCCTGGAAGGTTCCTGGAGGACAAGTGCGCGCTGTGCCCGGCAAGAAATCGCTTCCAGTTGCTAAGGGATTTTACAGAGAGGCTTAGGTTCGGAGAGGCGTAAGGACCTCAAGTCGCGGGACTCACTGTGAGTGGTCCTCTGAAGATCCTGTTTACGTTTAACCAGTTGTCAGTTGTTAGTTGACATGGTTGTCGTACTCGGGAATTTCCGCCTTGGATTTGGATGCCGTACACATAACAAGAGATTCGCTCGTAAATAGACACATGCCCTACCAACTCATAGGAGGTCTAACAGCGTCTAACTTCTTAGGCGGGGCTGTCAGACGGGCTCATTATCAGCTACTGGCGATAGTTGTCAACGTTGCATAACAGCCAGTTAGACACTGGGTTAGAGGCTGTCTTGTCCTGTTTGGCCCTGTGACTGACATATACCTGGAGCCCACACTGTTAACAGTTGTCTGCTTCTAGGTTCTGTTAGCAGCTGTAAGGACCTGTAATTGAGCGCTGTCTGCCACAACAGGATATTGTTGACAGGATGTTACACTCTGGGTGGGTCACCCAGATGGCGAGAAAAAAATTTTGACGGCTGTTTGGGATTTGGGAAGCTAATTGTTAGCAATTGTTCAATTCACTTAAGCTGTTAAGTGGTGCCAAGGGGTGTAGTTGCTAACAGGCCTTGAAAGCTGTTACGAGTAGCGACATGCTAAAAGGAAGTTCCATCATGTTACTGGCTGTTGCCATGAGATACTATCAAATTAGTAATTTGCTGAACTGCAGTTGTAGAATTTTAATTGCTGTTTTGAGGTTAAGACACTGTAAATTTTATGAGCTTTTGCATGATTCCCTGCCACTGTTAAGTACACACATTCTCATATTTTTGGAAAGCTGTCTGACTTCATTATTCATGTCATCAGCATCTATTTGCCATCATTGGGGATAGAAGCTTGTACTGCATGGGTAGGCACAAACCACATTCGACAGGAATTATATACATACGTATGTATTACACAACAGTCTGCAGACCCACTGGGCAGCTGGGTCGCCCTGGTCACCTCACTTGCTCATCATGTGGAATAGTGCAATATAGTGCACAGCCAGCTGGCCTGTACAGGCATCCATTGCCTCAATTCTTTACAAGTCTGGAGCCTGCTACCATAATAACCACAACAACAGCAGCAGGAGCTTACATTGGCATGCAATTATACAAACATGTTCTTCATCAACCTTTGCCTGTGACCTGTTTCAAACTACTACTGCACTGCTTCCTTTTTATCCTATTGAACACCTACTACACACTACTGAGCCATACAGCTCTAGACTGCCCATTTGCTTCCCATCCCTGCACATCAAGAAACCTAAGCAACCCACACAAACTTGCCCTTGTATTGGACCATGGAGTCATTCTATAGACCATTGGTGCAGCCATGTAAGAAAGCCCATTCCTTGACCAGGCCTGCTGCTTGTTGAATCTGCCAAGTAGGCTCTGCACTGCCAGCAGCTCTACAACTGTGTGCTTCTTGAGCTCCTTGCTGGCCTTAATCCGGACACATGTGTGTATGTCCTGGTCAGTTGCTTGTGAGTCCAAGTGGAAGCCATTCACAAGCTCTGTCTAACCCACCCAAGGTAACCATGAAGTCAGTCTGCAGTCAGTCAACAGCATGAGCACCCATGAATATTGAAAGATTGTATTTAAAAGAATCCTGAATGGATTAGTGATAGAAGGTTGTGTGTCGTATGTAGGCACTACCACATGTACATGGTTGTGGTGTGGGGTTGCAGGTGGATATGGAGGCAGGGATGGAGATGGACAGGTGGGGTTGAGATACTTCTTTGTCCTATCCAAATGTTCCATTCAAATTGGATACCTGTGTCAAATGAATAATGCACCCCTGCCCCAAACTTACCACTTCCAAGCAGATCTTGGATGCTGAATTGAAGTCCATCAGGGCTGCAGCTGGGTAGGAGAAGTTGCACCACTTCACCAGGATGTATCTATCTCTTGGCACACTGCACACCCTGTGAAGTCCCACTTCCTGATGCATATGTAGCGTACATGAGGTGTGGCCCTAGAGTAGCTTCCTCTTGCGGCTGCCTGGTGCCTGATGCCGAGAGCCGGGAATCCGTGCGTACGGCATATATGCTGAAGATGGCCTGTGCATGGCACATTCCCTGTTTGTCATGGCTTACTTCCGTTGCTTGAGTCGTAGATATAGTTCATCCTGTCCGTACACGCCTCGTGTAAAGTTGGTTCACTGCAAAAGCAAAAACAACGGTGTAGAGATATGCCATACATCTGGCCTTGTTTTATGTCCCGCATGTCGTATTCAGACAGCGAAATCGTCAGGAAGCCACGTAGTGAACCTTTACTCCTAGAGTTCGAGCAGGAGCTGCCGATGAAGAGCCGTGCACCCTATTACGTGGCCTTCCACATGAGGCCTATGCATGTGCGGTTCCGACCATCCATTTGCGGTGACCGTTGGATTTTACCGTCAACTTAACGCCGCTTGGCCTCCTCCCAACAGCTCCCTTCTAAAAGGATGTGAAGTAAAAGCTTGACATGGCAGTGTCGTACTGCTGCAGAGAGCTTTCCTACCGAACCTTGATATTAAAGACCGAACCGGAAGCCCAACTTGGCCTGCCCGAGCTCGGAACGGACGTCTTTAGGGACCACCAAACGGTATGCAACCACCAACGCCTTTGAAACCACCAACCGGCAACAGCCTTCTCCTGCCAGAATTCCAATGTGAGGCGTCACAGCAGGACTTGTAAAAGCGCTAGCACCGCGACAGCGATGGTGCCACAGGAGCTTTAGCAGCAGGTTGGGAAGCTGCTACTGCCTCCATTGCTACTGCTTCTGCTACTGCTACTGGCACTGCTACTGCTGTTTCTTCCACTTCGGCCCGTCCGATTGCTCATGCTTTGCAAGGATGACACCGGAATGCGGCGGCGATTGACAGGCCAGGACCAGACTTGCATCCAGGAACGTCATATCACCGTCACTGCCGCCATCTTCACCGCCACTACGGGGGGGAGCAGCGAACTCGTCTTGGAGTTCGCTGCTACGCCCTGTGCAGCCATCGACACCGGTGCCGATGGCATGGCGATTCCTGCTGCCGCCGGCGCCGGGGCGGCGCAGCCGCCAGAGGAGCGCGCGAGTGAGCAGCACCAGGAGAGCGGTATTGGCGGCCATGAAGACGATACACGCAGCCCAGAGGTGTAGATGCACAGAGCGGCCCTGTGCGGATGGGTGGCAGCGGGTGACAACCCAACGTTGCCAATTACCTCAAAATACGCAACAGAGGCAGTGCGTCCAGGAGCGTGCCTATGCGGGAGCGTGCCTATAGAGCAGGGCGATGTGTGCTTTAATGACATCTTCTAAGTCCGCGACGAGAAGATGGCGGGTGCGGGGAACTCCTGGTAAAAAGGAAACCCCAAGTAATAAAAAGGAGCCCGGGAATCCTACAGCTCGGTTTTCCTTCCTCTTCCGGCATCTCCATCCTCACTCGCATCTCCACCTGGTAAGCCCAAGCCAGCCAATGCAGCTGGGCCGCCACCCAGGCGGCCCCGCCGACCCCCAGCGCCGTACGCCGTACGGCACGCTGCGCCGCCAGCGCCGGCAGCACCAGCGGCAGCAGACTGAGGTACCAGACAAAGTACTGCGCAGTGACTACTTTATTCAGAGTGACGAAGCACCAGGTCTGCGGAGAAGAGAAAAATAAACACAAACAAGGAAAGAACTGAAATTGGCTCCGAAATCATTACATTTGGGCTTCATAGTGCTTATCAACAGAGGATGGTGCAGGGGAAAAGCGCTCTCTTCCATGCAGAGTACAAAAAGCGGGTTGCAAAAAGTGCAGGTGAGTGTGAATCTACACCTCCCCATCAGGAGTCTCTATGATCTCACACACGATCTCTCTCTCGCGCGCGCATGCATGCGTGCGTGCATGCTAGCTCCCAGTAACCCCACTCCCCAAACCCACACGGTATCGATTATATCCACACTCCCCCCCTTCCCCGACGTCCCGGTGCGGTCCCGCGGTCAGGTAAAACCCTGCAGCCCGATCAGTCCAGACACGTGCACCTGCAACAGCCACGCCGAGGGCAAGTCTTCATGAAAGCGGACTGCCAGCGCTAGCAACGCCGCGGCCTGGGGAACCATAGCCACCCGCCACGGCTCCTCCACATGTACGACACGCCGTACGGCATGCCACGACGCCAGCATCAGGCACAGCGGTGATGAGTCAACGCAGCCGCTGCTGCTGGTGGCGTACGTTGTCGTATTTGCTTGGCCGTAGCTGAGGTACACGGGGTAGTAGTACGGCGAAAAGTTATGACGTGGGTCTTTGCGCGTCAAGTGATGTAGGAAGGCCTCATGCAGGAACGTGTTGCCGTACAGCTTGTAAAACACGACGCCCAGCAGCGAGAAAGTGGTGGCGGCAGCGACACCGAAGAGCCCTACGGGCAACAGCGCGGCCGCCGCCGCTGCCGCCGCCGCCGCCGCTACCCCCCGATTTTCGCCAGCAGCGACATTATTAAAGTGCACCGGTGGCTGCAGCGGGGGCAAACATTGTACGGCATTGTCCGTACGATCTAGCCCTTCGTGCCTCTGGTGAAGGCCTCTGGCGCTTCCGGCCTCCGCCTCCACCGGCTCAGCAGTTTCTGCCGTACTGGACCCAGTGGCTGCCGCACTACCAGCTGTACGGCCAGTATCGCCTCGCCGCCGCCCTCGCTGCGAATATTAGGCCACACGGAGGAGTTGCGTGTGGCCGTTGCGTATCGTGATGTGGTTGAATGCACGTGTACAAACATGCGCACGGAAATGAGCGCCTGTCGTAAAGACAACACATGCAGCAACGTTTGCAGGTAGCAGTCCGCCCCTCTACAATGACCCAGTGCTGCACAGCCCCCACCAAAATGTCAAACAGTCTGAGATTATCAGCTCCCTAATTGTGTTGGCTGTGCGAAAGAGCACTCCACCGACAACCACTGTCCAAAACCCGTTCAGAGTTCGTGAAACCCAGATGACGTCATCATCACACCCTGGAAAATGCTCTCGCGGATTGATCGAGATCGAGTCCTGGAGAAATCTTTAATATACATAAAAAGATGTTCCACTTTTTCCGTTCACGCCCCCCATGGGACCCACCATCACAAGAGCCCTCCGCATCAGGAACAGCACAATCGACGGCCCATAGATAACCGGATAAATCCTAAAATGTACGGCAAGTCCGTACAGCGCGCCTGACGTCAGTGGCTTGCCGTACAGCAGGCCCACCAGCAGGCAAAGCAGCAGTACCACGCTAATCACGTCGCAGCTACCGCGGGTTGATATGGTGGCGGTATAGGGGTTGAACAACCAGAACACCAGTGCAGCGGTACACCGTTGCCGTGATGTGCCTCCGCGGATCAGCAGGAGGTGCATCAAACGGGCCGCGGCAAGGTCAGCGACGGAGAATAGCACCTGTTGGACAGCGTGGATTGAAAACTACTCATTCAGGTAGCCTGATGGCAAATACCGTGAAGGGCAGGGCCGAGAGCAGCGGGGACCGGCAGCCGCAGGTTTGCGCGTAGTTCTCTCCCAGCCGACGATCTCCTCCCTCCGAAACCCCGTAATAATCGAAGCAATGACAGAGACGGCGACCTCAGGGGGGAGGCCAAAACGTGGAGGCCCCAACGCACCTTACCACACGCTGGATGAAGCCAGATGTTGGGAAGCAGCAGATAGGCCAGGAGGGGACTGTACCGATACGTCGCTCTCTGGTAGGGTGAACCTCCCGCGGCGACGAACCGCGCGGCATCAGTGAAGACAACGTAATCTATATCCGTATATTTAACAGGAAGATGCCGGTCTTGGTACTCGGCCCAGCAGATGAGCAAAGCGCGCACAATGCCCGCAAGCAGCAGGACCCGCCACGGCTGAACCGTACCCAGCTGCATGCTGCCAGCTTGGATTGAGTTTGTTGACAATTAAATTGCTTTGTTATGTGCAAGCGACATGTGGATCCTGCATGTGCGCTACGAAACCTGGGAAAGAGGCACTGGGAAATGTGAGGACAGCAGTCGCAATTAAATATTATGGAATCACGCGTTTAATGCTAAGAGGAAAACCAGAACTCAAAGGAGGCTCCTGTGACGTATGGACCTGAAGTCGTTGTCTCTGGTGCCGAGGACATATCGTAAGAGATAGGATGTCGATGCACTAAAGAACATAAAGCTATGGACCACAGTAAGACTCCCGATGGCTTCCGACAGAATAGCTACTGTGACTTGGAAGTGGAATCGTCGGAACGAATTTCAACGGCCCGAGGTAGAGAAGAGAATGCACTTGTCCAAGCCACTGTCATTATTCTCGAGTTATGTTACAAAAAGAAAGGCGCAACGCCTGGCAAAGGGTCAACTATTGTTGTTGACATTATCTTACGGCTTGCATGGCCTCGTAAGGCCAGACGAAGCAGAGCATGGACCGTCTAAACCAAACAAATTATTACAGTTAAATTCTGTGGAATTAAAGGGCATCCATTCTGTCATTGAAGAGCGTCGCATCCAAAACCCTTACAAACTTGTGAATGACCTGGGCAAGCTCACGCCTAGGATTCATCCGAGTCCAGCCAACTGCTTCTGGACGTGGTCTGCGTAATCCTCCACGAGAAAAACCAAAGAATGTGGGTCTAAGGTGAAGAAGGAAGACTTCCGCCCAAACATCCCGTCCAAGGCTTGTCGATCCTAATCAGGACTTTGCCTGCATTTCCTGTATAGCAATGCTATGATAGAGAGCCGCTTCGATAATTCTTATGCAGCGCGACCCGGCAATAGCTCTAAAGATCTTTTTTCAAATGCATTTTTTACCAGCAGCATCTCCTATTACGACGATAATCCACCACCACACCATGTGCCGTACATGATCCCCCTCATCGCCGCATCTACCTTTCTATTCCTTGCAGAGCTGCTGGTTTTGTCTTTTTCCGAAGTGCAAGTGCAAGTGAGGATGGATAGCCGGGGCTGTGCCCGCACTGGTTCTAATCATGGATGGATGGATAGGTGGATGGATGGATGGATGGATGGATGGATGGCGGTGCGGCCCCTGAATGCGGGTTAGCTCCTGTATTTTTAATTCATTTGTTTAATATTGTATTCCGGATTTTCGACACGCGGACGCTTGTGGCGTCGCATCGATGCATGGCTGTCACATAATAACCTGCTGCAAACACTGCCGCCAAACAAAGTTATTCTTTAATAGGAAAAACCCCTGCCAAACTCTGCAATTGTACGCAGGATAATTCACAGGACGTGGCGTCATTGCCGTCCGAAAACAATGCCACGACCTACCAGCCTAAATCCCGACAAACCGGCATACAACTCCAGTCAAATCCTACATAAGCTACAGCCCGCCGACACAGCACGAATCAGCTTCCCCGTTTCCAAAGCCTCCCACGACTCCACGACTTCAAACTAAATGTACGAATTAATACAAGGCCGACGACCGAGACGGCGGCCTGGGGGAGTGATGGAGCAAAGCGAAATGGTGGCAGTCTTCGGGTTGAGGGGCCCCCACCAGCGAGGCATTCCGCTGCCAGGGGTGAGCTCGCCCAGCATAGCAACATTGGGGTTGAAGCAGACAGACCTTGGGGGCCGGCCTGACTTGCTCCCCGTGTTGCTGAGATTTCAAACCCTTGTCCCCCGCTCCCTCCTTCCCATTCCCCCCAGGCGGGTGGGGAATGAAAGTGTGGATGTGTGGGCTCAGATAACACAGCGGGCCCAAAACGCAACCGCGCGATGCCCGGCCGTCGTGTATTCAGCTGGATGAGGTCGACGTTTTGAAAACTGTATCTAGTTGCAAACCTCGTCGAAACAGCGAAACAGTTAATGTGAACAAAGCGCAATAACAATCATGCCAGGGAGCACGTGACCTCCAAGAAACGTGCACCGCGTGCCCACGAATCCTCCAATCGTCGAAGCGAGGGTTTCAAAGTTTCAAATTTTTTAAATAATACGACGCAGCTGCTTTGATTTATACATGGTTCAAATGATTCATGCATGCAAAGTGCAGAAAATATTTTCCCAGAAACGAACAGAATTGAGCAATAAGATGATGCGCGCGTGGGACAAGCTGTCCAATGAAGCCTGCTGTCCAATGCGTATTTCTTTATGGTCCAGTCGTACGGCTGTACAGAGGTGAGACACCTAACCTCTCCCAAATTTCCATTCGCTTAGTATACGACGCCTAGCATATACCGGCATATACCCCCACTTCGCCTTAGCATTATTGATGGTGGTGCCATCATCATCAGTGTGCTTCAATATGCCTGATAGGCATTATGCAAGTACAGTTCCGGACATTTTCACTTGTAATCACAATCTTACGCTACCAAGATTTTTGCGATTTGCGAATCACGACTGCGATTGCAACCTTCTTATATGGTTAACCTCCTATCATTCCGCCCTTGTATCGTACCAGCTTCTCCGTACATGTAGACATGCGTTACCCGTCAGTCCATTTCCAGCTCGATTCCTTTCATCAAGGTTTTTAAGGTTTCCTCGGACAGCGATTCCGAATTGCTTTCCGAACCCGCAGCCTCCACTTCTGGCTGCCTCCCCCACGGCTGCTGCTGCTGCTGCTGCTGTTGTTGTTGGGACAGCTGCCGGCCCGCTGAGAGGCCCTCCACCATCGCCGCCTCCACATCCACTCCTGCAACTGCCGGCTCCGCAACAGCAACAGCCCAAGGATAAGGAACACTCGGAGCCCCAAAAGCGGCAGTTAAGTCGGAGGTTATCCCCAGTGGTCCGCCGCTAACGAAGCCGCCCTGATGGTTGCCGGCCAGCAGCGGCTGAGCAGCTACCTGCGGTGTCGCGTTCGCCTGCGTACTGCCTCTCGTACGGCCTTCAAATGCCCCCAACGTCACCGTCCCCGGCATCAGGCAGGGGTCGACAGAGGCGCAGACGTCTCCCCAGTGAGGCGCGGGCTGTGCGGGGACCCCGATAGCACCAGGTCTGTAAGAAGCCAGTACACGCTGGGGGCTGTTTATCGCGTGGGGAAGTGATCGCCGCAGCCATGGGAATCCATCCAGGATGCTCCTTCCCAGCATGCTTCCGGAGCTGCCGCCCCCAAGCACCTGTGGGGGCAAATACCCAAAGGAAAGGCGCCGTAGCAGCACTCAGAGGAGTAGCTGTAGTAGTAATGGTAGTACCAGTACCCGAACCAGTACTAGCCAAACTAACTCTAGGAGCTGGAGGCTGGATAGTTGTGTCCAAAAGCAGACAAGGACAGCAGACAAGGACAGCAGTTGTGAGGGGGTAGTAAACCATTAAACAGTTGTGTACACTGCTGCGGCAGCCACTGTAGAAATGGCAGCGGGAGTTGTAGACCGGGAGGGGCATAAGAGGGGCCCCCTAAGGGGGAGAGATATACTCCTCAACAGTCGACATGTAAAGCAAAAAGCAGCCATGAAAGCAGCGCATCCATATCGATATCGATATCGCTCTCCCAATAGTAATCCCACCCTGCACACGGGCACACCATGCTGTTGGACATAAGAGCCAGCCCAGCGCACGGGGTTTCCTTCCTCTTGCGCTTCTGTTCGGTCCATAGCCGCTGCCCACGGACGGAAAACCAACCACCACAGACACACCCCACCAACTACCCAACCACCCAAATCCTGCCTCCCGGGCCCCTAACCACCCCGTACAACGCACGTCCGTACCTGCTGCCTCAACGCCCTAAGCTCTTTGGCCGCTTCCGCCGCGGCGGGTCGCCTCCGTGGGTCCTCCTCCCAGCACCGGCGCACTAGCTGCTTGAGCTTGGGCGGACAACGGCGATTGCTCAGCTGCTCCAGGGGAAGTCTCTCCTTCAAAACAGTCACCTTGTAGCCGACCGCCACAATGGGATATCCCTGAAGGGCGGCGGCGAGCGAAACAGGTGAGCGAAACAGGCGAGCGAAACAGGCGAGCGAAACTGGCGAGCGAAACTGGCGAGCGAAACAGGCGAGCGAAACTGGCGAGCGAAACAGGCGAGCGAAACTGGCGAGCGAAACAGGCGAGCGAAACAGGCGAGCGAAACAGGTGCGCGAAACAGGTTAGTGAGGCGTCCAAGTTGCGTCCCACCCCACCTCACCGCCAACCCGCAACGTAATCCACCCCCCAACCCATACCTACGTTCCAAGGCCGCTGCCCAGTCAACATTACCCACAACAGCACCCCCAGCGAGTACATGTCCTGCGCAGTGGAAGGGGAAGGGCAGCAGCAAGGGAGGGGTGCCATGGGAGGCGTCTCAAAATGGGAGGCGTCTCAGAGTGCTTTCGTAACCCTGCATGGTATCGTTCCTGTATGACCTCCCGACCTGTAACTGAAGCTGTTGGCAGTGTCTTTTAAAGTAAGGCTACGGGTGTTGAGAATGATGATGATGTATGTGTGTGTGTGCCTACTACCAATGTACGGAACGTAAGAGGAATGTGGGGATTAGTCATGCATGACGGCCAGGGATCCGCTGCGCAGGGACGGGGATACGCGCTTGCAGGAGGAGAGGAGACCCGTTTTCGCTCACCACATGATGTGTGATGAGCTTGTTGTCCAGGTCGTAACACTCTGCGGCAGTGGGCAGCGGGGGGAGCGCCCAGCGCGGAATTCAAGCAGTACTTTAGTCAAAGACACCGTAGGTGGGTTGGTTGTATATTTTATGATTATTATGTATTTGGTATTGCCACTTAACCACGCGCATACCTTGCTGGTTCGCTTCTTTAGCTGAGGTGACGGCGTTAACACCGATACAATATGAATGCATTTTGCCCACTGTAACAACCACACACACACACACATTTTGCCGAGCTATAATCTCTATACACAATATTCCACATAGTCCAGCAATGGATTTTGCGAAAATAACTATTAAATAATATCCAGGAAACACTAAATAATAAGTAGGAGCACGAATCCAAGCCCAATTCTAAACCGGAATACGACCCAAATGAAAAAGCCATATGGAAGCGCGCATCGTACTGCTCGTGGTTTAGGCTCGCGCAAAGCAATTCCGCACTGTGTGTTAACCATGCCCCTGCAGAGCCTCCCTGCAGCCCTCCGAACAAGAGCACGAAGCCAGCGCCTCAACCCTCAAGCTCTCCCACCAGGGTCGAGAGCACCCTTGCTCCCAACACCCAACGGATGGGGCGTGCAGTAACCTGGAAAACCCTAAGCAAGCTTACGGCCAAGAGGTCAACATATCATTTGTATGTGTGTAAACAGAGAACAGAGACCCCGAAACCAACATCGGCAAGCCCGCCCGCCCCGCGCACAAAGGACCCACCTACCACATACCTGGCGCCAGGTATGCCGGCTGAGAAATTACGTGGCAGCATGCAAAGCAGCGACAGCACACACATACACACGTACGCATCGTTAAAATTCAAAGGCGCCACAGCAGTACGGCATCCAGCATTCAGAACAACCAGGGGGGAGGTAGTGGTGCAGTTAAAGGAATCAAGGGGACCAAAATCCGCAAAGATGTTGACCGAGCCCACGCAGAGAAATGAGCGATGCTATTCTGGCGTATAGTAATCAGATCGGTGTTGCGGCATTATTAGGAACGCGGGGGGAGGGGTTGGGCCGGAAGGTGGGTGAGCAGAGCGGTGGAAGCTGGGGCGCCCGGTTCTCCAACAGCTCGTCCCCAGGACCCCCTGCTGGATGTATTTGCAGCAGGTGCCACTCTTGCGTTGCTACACCCTCCCTTTCGTACCCTCTTTGCGCGTGAGTGCGTGCGTATATTATATATATTATATATATATAAAAATAAATAAATAAATAAATATAAATAAATAAATAAATATAATATATATATCTTATATTTATTTATTTATTTTAAACATCGCCGTGACCCCCTGACCCAAGCTATTACAAGCTGTTACCCACCGACGTCACTTACCGTGCCCGCCCCAGGATGCTGGGTGGGCTGTGTAATAGCTTGAATGCGCGCGAGTCCAAAATCCTTGAGAAAACAAGGCAAGGCCGAGGCGAGGCGGAGGCAAGGCAAGGCAAGGCAAGGCAGGTACACGACATCATGCGGCACAGCGTGTGGCAAAGCGGCAAGTACGGACATGCAGTGGTAGCAGCGAGACGAGCTCGAGGGAGGGGGCCGCCCTCCAGCAAGCCAGTGGGAGATCGTGCCCACAGCCAGGCACACACACACACACACAACACGCCCCCACACACAGGAGCGGCAGGCCAACAGCAGGTGCCGCAATGATCCCCACGTGCGTGCCACTTCTGGGGCGCACCACCACTGGCGGTGGTGGTCAGAGGCCCAGCAGTCTAGAATGGCCCGATACCATGGTGGGGAGGGGGTTAGGGTATGTACGGGGGTTCCGGGTTACCTCTGTCTTAGAGAGCCCAGAGGCACCCAGAGAGCCGGATCATGCCGGGGCTGGGGAGGAGTCTTGCTTGTGTTTCGGGCTGAGTGGGCAAACTCGCGTGACGCAGTCTTGACTCGCGAGAGCGTGCGCGCGTGCGACGCTTTCCCCGCCCTCCCTGGGAGACGAAGAGCTGAGCTAGCGGATATGCAGCTCGCGGCCCTCTCCCGTCCGTGGCAGAGAGCTTAGGCGGTCTTTCCGTTGGGGCTGGGCAGCAGCCCCTGGCCAGTATCAGGACCGGTCAGATACTTGTAACCTTCACAAACATACACACATACATGCACACACACACGCACGCACGCACACACATGCACACACACACGCACGCACTCTCACACACACATGCACACGTGCGCGCGTGCACTCACCGACAATTTGACCTCCGGGGTGGCCGAGTACGCGTTATTGAGCAGCACGTTGGCGGGCTAGGGGTTAGGGGGGGGGGAAAGGCGGGTGGATGGGAATGTAAACAGGTGCTGTGTGGAAACATATACACGACCTGCCTGGATACGGGAGCACGAACGAGGATCGGGACAGGGGGACGCTGGGGCGGTGTTGAAGGTTTTGGTCAACTAGATGGAGATGGAGAGGAGGATCAAGGAATATGACGGACATGTAGCTGGTGGTGGTATGGACTGGCAACCTCTGGGGGTGTCGGGAAATGGGGTTACAACATTTCCCTGAATGTGTGTTAAGACCAGCAGAGAGCCTTGGACCCCTCCCGGGTCCTATTACTGCTGTCACCATTCTGTATGATATGCGTGTCGGTCACTTTCCAACAGAATGAAGGGTATCGATATTCTTGAGAGTTCTCTCCCTTCCCCCCCACATGCATTCCTGTCAAACGCACGGTCGTCCGCCATGGCACACTGCCAAAAGGCGCCAAGTTAAGCACGCAAATCACGTACATCACGCAAATCTTGGATCCGGATTTCAGAATTGATCGGAATTCAGCTCGGCGGCTCATGGGACGAACAAAAACCCATGTAACGCAAGAACGTCATAAAAAACGTCAAAGGCCCCAGGTGGGCCCCCAAGGGATGTGTTCTCGTTCAATGCCTTCTAACTGGGCCGACCTATCACGGCGCGTGAGATCCCCGTGCCGCCCGCCGCCGCCCGCCGCCCCGCAGAAATTGTAGTAGTGTAAGGCCCTTGGCAGCCCCGGTTCCGCCCTCGCCCTGTCCTATCCGGCACCTTGAACGCAACCGTACAACGCTGCCGTACACCAGCAGGCCATGAAGGCTATATAGGACATAACCTTACCTTTAAATCCCGGTGTGTGACGGTGGGGTGCAGGTACTCGAGACCGGAACACACCTCCGCTGCGATGTGAAGAACCTGTACAGAAGGTATGTACGGCAGGAAGGGTGGATGGGCAGGACACATAACCCATGCATGCAAGCCCTATTTACAATATTAGACAATCGCAAATGGGCGGGAGGTCACAAAGCGAGATTAGCCTTCCTCTGCAGCGCCGGCAGTGATGGTTATCATAGAGCAAGCAATTGCATGCCTTCATTGCAGCAACTAGAACTTAGGTACCCAACGCACGACATCTGCATGTACGGAAAGTACGGGAAACCTGTTACCGGCAGTTTACTCTTTCTGTACGGGCACCTGATTGTACATCACCACATTATGCCCACCTTGGCCAGCGGAATGAGTGTCCGGGCTCCGGAACCGTAGATGAGGTGCTCCAGGGAAGTTTCCATCAGCTCCATCACCAGACACAGCCGTGGCGGGGTCACACACGCCGCCAGCAGCCGCACAACATTGGGGTGCTGGCAGCGGGCAAGCACCTCGGCCTCTTGCCTAAACAGGAATTCAAACCTCGAATCCCAGGCATCTAGGAACGACATATTCACGTGGCCACCGGATGGCGGCTCCGGGGTTTTGGCGTGCTGCCCGCATGACACCCCAGTAGACTCGTCGACGTTGACATTGACACGCAGCGGCAGCGGCAGCAGTGGTGGCGGCGGCGGCGGCGGCGGCAGCGGGGGCGTTGTCAAAGCCATCCCACCTGTTTGGTGAGCGCGTCCAACCGTACCGTGTACGGATGTACGATCTCCGTGGTGGAGGAGGTAGCTGCTGCTGCTGCTACTGCTGCCATCGCCGCTGCTGATGCTGAGCATGTTGATGCTACTGGTGTGGATGCGGCGCCCTGCAGGGTGGTGATGGTGGGCGTGGCCAGGCAGCAGCGAGCCGGCAACCCCTGCACGATGCCTCACCAACGCCACTGCAGGTGGCAACGACGACGACGCGGCCGCGTTAGTGGGCGCAAAACCTGGAAAGCTCTCCAGCGCTGCTGGCATGGTTACCCTCGACCCGGCAAGGTCCTCCAGGTTAAGGATCACTTTAACGCATGATGTGTTTGTATCCTGCTGTTGTTGCTGTCGTTGGTTCTGTTGTTGTTGGTTCTGTTGTTGTTGCACATTATCTGGTCGTGTATCAGCCGCGGCCCCAGGCTGTACGTCTACAGGGAGAGCTTCGGTCGGGACCCGTCCTTGCAGTTGGGAGGGAAAGCTGAGGAATCTGAACGCAGACAGACAGCTGTTTGACCGGGCGGCTGACGATGCTGAAGTCCCACACGACACCATAGAAACTCCCACTTGCGCTTGCGCCGTAGTCCGTTGGCGCTGTCGCGGTCGCCGCGCCGCCGCCGCCGCGTTGATGTTCATGCCATTGCCGCCGCCGCCGCCGCCGCCGCCCAGCACCACCTTGACTGCTACGGGGCGCCCTCGGTACGTTCCCTCGTACACACGCCCCGTCGCGCCTTTCCCCAGGACCCGGGGCTTCAACTCCACTGCATAAGGTGCCGTTAAGTCAGCGGCTTCCCCAGCTAAATCCCCTGTGGCAAGACCACCTTCGTCGCCCGTAAGCTGGGGTGTGGCGACGGCGGCGGCATGGGGTTGTCGGGACGACTGGGTGTTCGGTGCAACAGGCTGTACGATGGGTCCAGACAATGGGGTTTCGGAGTCGCCTGCAACCGCCGCTGCAGTACAAGCCGCTGCTGCTGCTGACTTCGTGCGTGGCGTGAGAAGCTGAACACCGAAAACAAAATCCTGGCGAATCGGTGTGTTGGGCGCGATGATGGCCGTACCGGCGCCGCCACCGCTGCCGCCGTCGCCACTGCTGCCGGGACGGGGGTATGGCGGGACAGCGGAGGTGCCGCTGGCAGCGGCAGCCGCTTCGGTATCGACCATTGTGACGTGTGCTTCACTTGCGGCGCCACACGGCACCGGCATCGTTGCGGGTGGCGCGGTGATGCCCCGGGTGATGGGTTGTTGTTCTACGTTGCCTGCCAAATAGTGTCAGGGCAGCATTGCAGATATTAACGAAAAGCGATGCTTCATGATGCCGTACATGTGCCGCATATATGCCGTAGTTTTTCACTGTAGGGTCACTGTAGCAACAGGAATTTCACCTTTGGTGGTCCACACGGTACGGAAGATATATATTTGTACGAACGTTTTTGGACCCCTAAAGCCCCAGGCGAACAAGCTCAACCATGCATGCGACTTCCGCCCGGGATTTCACGCCTCATATACCATCAAGGACTGTACATGGATCCGTACAGCCGTACAAACGTCGTACCTGTAGCCGAGGGGGCCAGGGCTGCTGGTAATCCTCGACGGTCATCAGCGGCGTCGGTGGCGTCGGTGGCGATGCCGACGGCACCTGCTACTGCGGTAGCCGTGTCGCTAGGTTTGTTATTGCTGCTGCCGACATGCTGAGGACTCGTTGCCCGTGAACCCCTGCCACTGTCCTCGAAATCGCTACAACGGCACACAGCAGGAGGAGGACAACGCAACGAACGCAAGTACTTAGAAGCGAAGATCAGACTCCCACCGAATCTGCAAATGCATGTTAGCACTGTCTTCGGTTGATGTATGAAAAGCTGGTGCTACGGCACTACGAACGAGTGATGTACGTGCTGATCCGTGTGGTCCGGCACCGACGCCTCAGATGCACTGTTGTGGGTTAGCCATTTATTCATTTTGATAGCAGCAACGATGCGGCGCCAGAGGAGAAAGAGGAGAAAGAGGAGGAAGAGGAGAAAGAGGAGGGGGAGGCGCTAGAGGAGGAAGAGGAGGGGGAGGACCCTGATCTCCCAGTCAGCAAGCTGCCTAGAATGATCTAGAGATATGACCCAGAGCGAACAAGAAGCGGTGTCGCTTAGACCTGCTGACCCATCCTTTTCCTTTGCTTCGCGCATGTGGAGAGTGATGAACACGCATATGCTCCTGGAATGTGCGAGGAGAGTAGCAATGCGGCCCGCAGGAAAGCCCCCAGAGGCGCTTTTCCTCTCTTTCTGCGTCTCGACTTGCACGCCCGCAATCCATATGCAGTGTGCAGTATCCGTATATGCACATGGTGTTACATATGCATGCATACGAAGATGTATTTTGAAAATGTTATGCGTGCGCAATTCAGTGCTTTGCATGTACAGGAAGGTGTTTTAACGCCACGTCGCTTTCTATGAAACGTGTGTTTTTAACATGCTTCCAGAAACCCTGATACTGCCCTGGGGCAGCGGCCCACAGCTCACACCTCGCGCCCTTTTCCTCGGCTGCTCCGCGAACCACCCCATTCACGGCGGGCAAACTCATGGCAGCGCAGCAGCTTCGGTCCTGCGGCAGCGCGCTCCCTGCTAGTATGCCCTGCTGCCGCTGCTGCTCCTGCTCCCGCTGCTGCCGTGCACGTTTCCTAACCAGGAAACCCACTGCCAGCGCCATAATAAGCACAGTTGCCCCTGCATAAAAACAGCGAGGAAAGTGACTGGCAAAGGTTAAGGCCTGACTTCTGCTCCCGCAGTGTCCGGGTTCAAATCCGTCTGCCAACCCCTCGGGTGTGTGAGGGGTAATGAAATGGGAGGTGCCACCCCATCTTTTGGACGGTGTAGAACGTGATAAAATCAATTTGCGAGCTGTCCAGGAACTAAGTTGAGGCGCCATTGATACGCTAGATTTGGTTGGATGCTGGTGGTGAGTTGCCAAACTCAAAGAGTCGCATGGGATGAACGGATTAGGGTGCCCCGCTCGCAGGGGAGAGCAGGGAATTGCCTCGGGAAGGAGGCCACTGGTGAAGCTGTACCACCCTGTAACAACATCAGCAACAAACTAAGCCAGGGATATTATTTTTGTCACTACGGAAAATCCGATCCCGTATTTCGGTAAAATCCAAACCTAGAAACAAATTCAAAACCACCATACACGCGAGCCTCTCGCATAAGATCTGCTGTGGCCGTGCAGTGTTCAGAGTGCACAGTCCGTTGTGGCTCGCGATGGCCCTCTGCCACCCTGCTGGGTTACATATTCCCTTGCGGTCTATCCGGGGGGCTCTCGCTGTAATACCTTAACTCCTACTACTCCTACTCCTAGTACTCCTACTACTAGTCCTCCTCCTACTACTACTAATACTACTACTACTACTACTCCTAGTACTCCTAGTACTCCTAGTACTCCTAGTACTCCTACTACTCCTACTACTGTGGCCGTCAACCGTGTGTGAGGCAGTGCCTACCTCCCAGGGTACAGGTCAGCGAAATGGTCACTTGCTTGCGCCTCACGCCACCGCTGCCGCTGACACTGCGATTCGCTGAGGCATTGGCTTGCGCAAATAGAGTGTACCGAACGCATCCCAGGGGGTTGTATTTTAAAATGCAGTCATCAGCTAGTACCCAAGGGCAAAGATAGCTGAAATTCTGAAAGCGGATCTGCGAATGGATGACAACGGGAGGGGAGCCAAGTGCCCAGGTTCGTTGGGAGCAAAAATCAAGTGCCCAGGTTCGTTGGGAGCAAAAAACAAGTGCCCAGGTTCGTTGGGAGCAAAGCAGGGCGATGTGTCACACCGGTACGCAAAGTGAGAACGAAAATGCGGCAGTGCGCCGTTGCACGCTTGGTGCTCTGTAAAATGCGCTAAAAACAGTGGATCAGTCCCTCCATCATGATGGAGGCAAATTGGAGGGCGCGAAAAGGGGACCAAGGGCGGCATGTAGCCTCATCTGCTGTGCCGTTCTCTGTGTGTGTGCGTGTGTGTGTATGTATGTGTGTGTGTATGCGTGTGTGTATGTGTGTGTGTTACATATCTTGCAGGGCCTGACGCTGGCCAGGGGCTGCTGCCCAGCCCCTACGAACAAGAACGCCGAAGAGTGTGTATGTGTGTAAGTTTGTATGTTTGTGTGGTTTAATTATCTTCGGAACCGCGATGAGCGAAATGCCGATATGGCGGTACACTGGCCAATAACTTCATACCGAAACCCAAAAACGATCTCATCGTCGTTCAGCGACATGTTCCGATTTTCAAATGAAATTGTAGATGACGTGGCTAGGATTCGTCAAGTAGATGTTGATTAGAAGAGTAATGTCAAGAGCCCGTAGAAATAAGCGGCGCTGTCTCTCTTTCTCTCTCTTTCTCTCTCTCTTCCCTTCTGTGTGTGTATGTGTGTGTCGTACAGCGGAAGTCATTTGACACAGCTAAGCTTTGTCGAAGTCACCTGGCGCCAGCATCACCCAAATTAGTCAGGCAGTCAGGCAGCCATTGCTAGACTCCCCTGCCACCTTACTGTGTCATTCCTCATTCCACATGTGACTGAGGTCAGTCCGTCGAAGCAATTTACCAACTTTTTGCGACGTGCAAGTCAGGACTCACCAAGTAGCCGCTGGGTTTCGATATGTCACCCGGCTGCTGTACATCAGCGCCGTAGAAGGCAAAATCGACGTACAAGCCCGTGTAGACGAAGCAGCGCTCAAGCATGTATGCTTCGGTGTCGTTTGAACATTTGGAGGGCGGCAATGGCAGCGGTCCGGGCAACTGCACGACGTTCTCACCGCCGTACTGTAGCGGTCGCTTGACCGTGGCTAATGCTTCCCTGCATGGGACCACCATCCCCACCACACACCCACACACACCCCACACACAGACGCTGTTGGACTGAATGGAATATGGATAGTTATTACATGCGATACTCCGTATCCGGGTGCGGCACAGGTCAACACATGCCCGTGCGTTCACAGCTTGCACAGGGGGGGGATCACCCGGCACCTGCAATGGTGTTATGGTGTTGTGATTTCACCTCCAAGGCTCTTAAAGTATTACTCCTTAAATAATTCCTTTGCAAGTAAAATCTGTTGACCGTTGCCTCATCTCAGCTGTAGTACACGGCCCCCTGCCCGGCCCCCTCCTGTTGTGGTGGGTCAGGACGACCATACCGCGCGTGTGGCATCATGGCATGGGGCCGTAACTGATATTTGAAAATTTAAACTGTAACCGTTTCTGAAGCCTAGTGGTGAACAGGGCCCTTCTGGCCAAGCGGGTGAGACATCCACATGACACAATAGATTTGCTTGGGCTGTGGTACGGTGCACCGTCGTACGGCGTGGAACTCCATATCGAGGACAACGAGCAGCTGTGATAATGTGCTGTTAAGTGTGTTCATGCGGACGGTTACGGGCAGAAGCGGACTTGGCCAAGTTGGACAGTATTAGCTCAGCAGCGAGCTGGGGAGCCCGCAAGCGTGTAGCGGATATTGGAACGCATCTGGCTCTGCCGAAAGTCGATGGTTCTCTTGGAACGTTAACTTGGTCACGTATACCTCTATGTTTTCTTTCCTTTTCTTTCTGTTCTCCTTTTTATCTTCTGTACTGTGCGGTTGTCTACAGTAGTATTTGGCCGACAGCGGGAAGATGTTGGGGACCCCGCTCGCATGGACGAACCAGAGCTATGCGCTCCCGACCATGCACACATGCATTTACACACACACACACACACACATACACACACACACACACACACACACACACACACACACACACAGAGACGCACGCACGCGCGCACGCACACACAAAGGTATGCATTGACATCCTCGCCTTCATGAATGCACAACACAATCATTCCCACCTTGCAACAGAGATAGGAAAACAAAACGGGCTCAGCAGGTAGCCATCCTTAAAGTGCAGGAAGGCTTGCTCCCCAGATGGCAGCGACGAGAGCAAGTCCAGGCCAGGGGCCTGGAAGCTGGACCCCGATCGAAAATGTACGAGCACCAGGTTCTGAAACGTCAACGTTCGGTTGGCGCTGACGCGTAGCTGGAATGCGACCGGAAGCAAAGAAACGAAGTCGCGTACCGGAGGGAGATAATTAAGTGCAAAAGGCATAGGAAGTTAAGGATGGTCATTGGGGCGTTGTGGCCATGCATGGTGCGGAGAAACCGTGGGGAGCAGATTGGATGGCGGACGATGCTGTTGATTTGCGAGGGCGATAGGTGGACTAAAAAAGCAGGAGCGAGGATGAACCGCAGCTCTTTGAAACCGCACTGTCTATGTCACAGACTATAACACGGCGTTCTGGCTAAAATTAAGATTGCGTCGAGAATGCGTCCCAGTGAGACCCTTGCCCTCTATGCTGCCAAGCATAAGCACGAAGCTGTATAAGGAACCGATAGTTCATTAATGAAATTGCTTACCTTACTGCGCAAGAAGCCCAGATTCAATATAACTGGACGAGATGCTGGGGACGCAAGGGTAAAACTTCGCTCCAGGATCAAGCCCGAGTTGTGCCCCGCCCAATCATCCTCAGTTAAAGATATATCTCTTTCAAGGTATGCTGCCTCGATCGCGGGGTCCGCAAGCGCCCGGACCAAATCTGCTCCAGTTTTACAAGATGCATTCCTTGAAAGGGAATAATTTTGACGCTGGGCAGCCCCTAAATATATAACAACGAAGAAGAAGAAGAAATGTAGTTCAAACGTCATCGTGTCTTGGCCAGCCCAAACGTACGTACTCCTAACAAAGCATAATGTCCTTGCATGGTTATGTAGGGTTATCCCGGTACGACAGCCTTTGCGGCCGGCCACCGCAATGGAACCAGAACGCGGCCGCACAGATTTCGCGACGGAAAGATGCTGCCCACACCCCTAACCACGTCCTAGTGATAAAGTTTAAACGTCGCCAGCGTTTGGAGCTGTCAGGCCGAGACGCGCGAATAGACTTTGCGCACGTTTGAGTTGCTTTAAGACACATTGCATGTTGATTAAGTGCTCGTCCTGTAGTGCAGTACGGCAAGTGCGGCGCAGGAAGGCGCAGACCAGAACTGGCCAGAGGACAGGGACTGATACTGTAGTTCGTTACAAAGATTAGCTGAGAACAAAGCGCTAAATCCAGACAACGCAAGTTCGCCAGTCAACCGTGCAAGCAAGTGCAAGTCAGAACGTCGTTTGTTGGGGAATAGGGACGTCAAAAATAACAATATACAATACATATGGACCCAGTTTAATAAGGAAGGAAATCAGAGAACACAGCGTTACTGGCACATCGGGCGTCAGTAACAGCGAAGAGATGGCTGAGCGGGATGAAGTGCGCAGCTGAGTCGGAGAAGGTCCGGAGGAGAACGAAGTAATGGCTATGACGAAGGCGATAAGAATGGCACGCGACGGAAACACCCAGAAGGGGATGTTGCTGAGTGGGTCGGTTGGGCCGAAGGCTAGCCATGCGTTTAGCTGCGCGGCGAAGCACCCAGGACTGAGTTGCCTTAGGCCGGTAGCATAGGAAGAGTTATCCGGAAGGCCAGCCCCTGGGGGTATGCTCTCGCGCGGCGAAGCACCCAGGCTGAGTTGCCTTGGGCCGGTAGACTGGGTCGCGTTTGTCCGGAAGGCCAGCCCCTGCGGGTATGCTCTCGCGCGGCGAAGCACCCAGGCTGAGTTGCCTTAGGCCGGTAGACTGGGTCGCGTTTGTCCGGAAGGCCAGCCCCTGCGGGTATGCTCTCGCGCGGCGAAGCACCCAGGCTGAGTTGCCTTAGGCCGGTAGACTGGGTTGCGTTTGTCCGGAAGGCCAGCCCCTGCGGGTATGCTCTGCGCGGCGAAGCACCCAGGCTGAGTTGCCTAGGGCCGGTTGCTGGGTCGCGTTATCCGGAAGGCCAGCCCCTGCGGGTATGCTCTCGCGCGGCGAAGCACCCAGGCTGAGTTGCCTTGGGCCGGTAGACTGGGTCGCGTTTGTCCGGAAGGCCAGCCCCTGCGGGTATGCTCTCGCGCGGCGAAGCACCCAGGCTGAGTTGCCTTAGGCCGGTAGACTGGGTCGCGTTTGTCCGGAAGGCCAGCCCCTGCGGGTATGCTCTCGCGCGGCGAAGCACCCAGGCTGAGTTGCCTTAGGCCGGTAGACTGGGTCGCGTTTGTCCGGAAGGCCAGCCCCTGCGGGTATGCTCTCGCGCGGCGAAGCACCCAGGCTGAGTTGCCTTAGGCCGGTAGACTGGGTCGCGTTTGTCCGGAAGGCCAGCCCCTGCGGGTATGCTCTCGCGCGGCGAAGCACCCGGGCTGAGTTGCCTTAGGCCGGTAGTCTGGGTCGCGTTTGTCCGGAAGGCCAGCCCCTGCGGGTTTGCTCTCGGACGGCGAAGCACCCGGGCGGAGCTGCCTTGGGCCGGTAGGTTGCGTTGCGTTTGTCCGGAAGGCCAGCCCCTGCGGGTATGCTCTCGCGCGGCGAAGCACCCAGGCTGAGTTGCCTTAGGCCGGTAGACTGGGTCGCGTTTGTCCGCAAGGCCAGCCCCTGCGGGTATGCTCTCGGACAGCGAAGCACCCAGGCGGAGCCGCTTTGGGTTGGTAGGTTGCGTGGCGTTTATCCGCAAGGCCAGCACCCGCAAGGTTTTGCTCTCGGACAGCGAAGCACCCAGGCGGAGCTGCCTTGGGCCGGTAGGTTGCGTGGCGTTTATCCGCAAGGCCAGCACCCGCAAGGTTTTGCTCTCGGACAGCGAAGCACCCAAGCGGAGCTGCTTTGGGTTGGTAGGTTGCGTGGCGTTTATCCGCAAGGCCAGCACCCGCAAGGTTTTGCTCTCGGACAGCGAAGCACCCAGGCGGAGCTGCTTTGGGCCGGTAGGTTGCGTGGCGTTTATCCGCAAGGCCAGCACCCGCAAGGTTTTGCTCTCGGACAGCGAAGCACCCAAGCGGAGCTGCTTTGGGTTGGTAGGTTGCGTGGCGTTTATCCGCAAGGCCAGCACCCGCAAGGTTTTGCTCTCGGACAGCGAAGCACCCAGGCGGAGCTGCTTTGGGTTGGTAGGTTGCGTGGCGTTTATCCACAAGGCCAGCACCCGCAAGGTTTTGCTCGGACAGCGAAGCACCCAAGCGGAGCTGCTTTGGGTTGGTAGGTTGCGTGGCGTTTATCCGCAAGGCCAGCACCCGCAAGGTTTTGCTCTCGGACAGCGAAGCACCCAGGCGGAGCTGCTTTGGGTTGGTAGGTTGCGTGGCGTTTATCCACAAGGCCAGCACCCGCAAGGTTTTGCTCTCGGACAGCGAAGCACCCAGGCGGAGCTGCTTTGGGCCGGTAGTTTGTGTTGCGTTTATCCGCAAGGCCAGCACCCGCAAGGTTTTGCTCTCGGACAG